GCCGGGGGGAGGGCGGCCAGAGCGCCCGGGGGAGGGCGGCGAGCCCTGCTGTGGCCCCGCTCTCCCCCGCGGCCGGAGCGCCCCGCCGCCCCCCTCCAGGTGCCGCCCCAAGCACCAGCTTGGGTGCCTGGTGCCGGCCCTGAAGGTAGTCAACAGAGTTTCACAGGGGATTCATTGAGCCCTGTTAGTTTAGAAACTAATGAAGAAGTTTATCCTTGTGAATTAATATAATTATAGAAAATTGCACAAAATGAGTGTATTTTGTTCTTTACAGGTAAAGAATCTCTATGGAGGAATAACTTGTGACATGAAGTTCATGGGTCAAATTCTTATCGCATATCTAAAGGAAAATTAACCTGGTTATGACATATGGCATGATATGCAGCACAACCTTAGGCCCCAATCCTGCAAACAGTTAAGCATGTGATTAACATCACTACCGTGAGTAGTAAGAATCAGAGCAATGTTTGCAGGACCAGGGCCAGAGCTCTAATAATAGGATTTCAAGGCAGATTGGTCAGATATTCAGAATGCCTGAATACATTCCCAAATAAATATGAAATTAAAATGGAGTTATGGTGGAGAATTCACATTAGTAATTTAGGGCAAACTACCTTACAGGAATGTTGAATTATCCCCAATCCAAATATTATTGATGTGGACATTCAAAGCTACAGTTACAGTTAAAAGAAATGTAAAGGTGTTAAGATACCAAAATACACAGTCAGGACACCCAAACAAATTTAACTCCACCTTGTTGTCATAGTATATGATTATTTGAAGCAGTTAGATTAAACAGATATGTAGAAACATTAAATTGTTCTCCTTCCACCCCCAACAGTGTTACTACAGTAGCCATCTTATGCTATAGGCAGCCAGTGGCCTCAGTGCCATTGACAACAATGGGAGATAGCAGCCATTTTGAAAGAGGACAACTTTTCATGGAATTCTCTAAAGAAAAACATTTCCTCTGCTCTGCGGAAGGAGAAACTTTCAGTTATGAAGAATAATGCCAAAAAATGTCAATTAATCCTAAAAAAATATTCTTCAAACATCCTATGAAAAAAGATTTTAGTCAGTTTTAGCTTTATGGGAAGTTCATAGTCTGTGTCATGCCATCATTATTAAGATCACCTCGGACAATAACAAAAAAGATCTGGCATAAGATGCTAATTTTTTTAAATGACTAATTCTGAAAATGAATTTCAGTGAGCCAATCCAGCAGTGCTCAGGCTACATGAAGGGAGTGTGAATCAGTTAGCCAGAAATCAGAATAGTCGAACATTTTCAGGGGCCTCAAGTTTCTCTTTAGGAATAGAGTTTCTTTCAACTAGAATGGAGAACCTGGTAGAACTGAAAGCAAGAAAACCAAGAAAAGGTCTGCCTTTGGGACAAACCCTTTCCTTTGGAAATTTGCATTATTTGGACTTGGCTGCTGGGAGAACTTATAGGCAAAGTTTTACAACTAGAAAGGGCTGAGGATTTAATGGCTAGGCTAGATAGATAGGAAAGATGTCTTCTTCTGTGTCACCTTTCAGTACAATTTTGCTATTCTTTAGTGGTCTGTTCTCCAATGACTGAAGTGTGAGATGAGGAGAATAATTGGAGGATTAAAAAAAAAGTGTTACATGTCTCAATCCCCCCGCCCCAATTATATCTTTTCTTTCCCTTCTTTATCATGCTGTTAAGCATTTTTTCCCCAATTTTTTTAAATAGCGATCACATAAATTGATAATCTTTTTAAAGAAATCTTTCAGGCTGCTTCATAAGACTTTGGAACCTCTTTAAAGAGGAGGAGCAGTCTAACCCCCAACGTCTTTGTCAGATCAGTCAGTATGGTGGAGGGAAAGCAGGACACTGAGGGGAGGGGGAATAGAGAAATTGCTGCTGAGCTTTCCCTCAGTGTGTGCACAATTTGCCTTTCCTTTACTTCAGTTCAGTCAATGTCGACAATAAGATAAAAATAACAGAGGGAGCTGTCTCTGCTGTGACCATGTCCTATACAGACAGACAAACACCCGGGAAAAATAAGTTTTAGAGGGAGAGAGAGAGAGACAGACTGAGGAAAGTACATCAAACTGACTCTGCCACAAGTCAGTTGGATGCAAAAGGTGAAGCAATCCATCACAAACTAAAGTATTCAGGGTGCAGAACAATGGTTTGGGTTCATGTGTAAATATGCTGCCTCTAAAGTAAAATTTTATTCACAGAGCCCTCCAAACATCATTAATGATGGTGGTGCAAACAAGGAAGTTAACTGAAAAGACGTGTTAATTTCAAGCTCTGTAACCCAATGGGCAGGTTCAATGTACCAAATAGAAAAGAATAAAATGTATAAAAATCCACCACATTTAAGAGTATTATGAACAAGGGAAGAGTTAAATATAAGCACTATTTTTTAAAAATGACTATTTAAATGTCTTCTTACACACCTGTCAGAATGAAGGTGACCCTACTGTATTCTTGTGAAGCACATCTTTCTTAAGTACTAAATTTATTGCTGAAGACTTCAGGGATCAGCAATTTTACTGTTTGAAAAATAACAGGATGTCTAAAAAAGGAATCATAAGACCTTTTGAAATTTTTGATAAAACCCACTTCTACTGTATATAGTTATTTTTTTCCCACTACAGCACAAAATGTTTTATTCTGCTTCCAAGAAGTAGGGTTTGCAGTAGAACCATATGGTCAATTCTGCAGCTTGAAATCTTCAGAAATCTCCCTCTCTTTTTTTGGAAGGAAGTACATTTTTTAATAGGAACACTGAAGCACTAGGGTAGTCTTTTTGGTTGTGGTAATGTCTTCAGTCAATTGCTCTAGTGCAAAGCTTACTCCTGGGGGAATTCTGCGTCACTAACCACATGCAGAATTTATGTTCCCCGCAGATTTTTTTTTCTCTGCAGAAAATACATTCTGCTGGAGAGGCACTGCAATCACACCTTTTCCCCATTGGGGCTACTATGGCACCAGAAGAGAAGGCAGCCGCTCAGCCAGCCACGGATAGGGAATGTGAGAGACTGCGCTTCTCACAGCGCCTTGCCCTCAGGACCAGGTAAGGCAGCTCAAGGTGTGGGGGGAACAGACAGAGCGGGGCACATGGTGGGTCACACAGACTGGGGTTCAGAAGGGCTAGTGGGGAGGACAGACTGAGGTGGGAGCACAGGAGCTAGTGGGATGACAGCATTGAACCAGGGGCTGAATGGGAGTGGGGGTGCAGGGACACATAGGGACGGGAGAGGAGGGCTGCAGGGGAATATGGGAATGGGGGAAGGGCATGGCTGAGTGAGGATGCAGGGACACATGGGGATGGGGCGAGGAGGGGTACAGGGCAACATGGAAACAGAGGGAAGGGGATGGCTGAATGGGGGTGCAGGGACACACAGGGATGGGGGAGGAGGGGTGCAGGGCAACATGGGGACGGGGGAAGCGGATGGCTGAGTGGGGGATGCAGGGACACACGGTGACAGGAAGAGGAGGGGTGCAGAGACACATGGGGACGGGGGAGGAGGAGTGGCTGAGTGGGGGTGCAGGGACACATGGGGAATGGGGACAGATGTGCCTGACTGAATGGGAGAGGCTAGGGGTCAGCCAGGGTCTGCATGGGGGAAACTCCCCAATTCCCTAACAATCCCTACCACCCGCCAAAAAAAACCAACCAACTGTTCCATACTTCTCCCACCCACACCCAACAACCTTCCAGGTTCACTCCCAGGCTCCTTCCTGGCAATTACTTCATAGAATCATCACAGAATCATAGAATATTAGGGTTGGAAGGGACCTCAGGAGGTCATCTAGTCCAACCCCCTGCTCAAAGCAGGACCAATGCCCAACTAAATCATCCCAGCCAGGGCTTTGTCAAGCCTGACCTTAAAAACTTCTAAGGAAGGAGATTCCACCACCTCCCTAGGTAACCCATTCCAGGGCTTCACCACCCTCCTTGTGAAAGTTTTTCCTAATATCCAACCTAAACCTCCCACACTGCAACTTGAGACCATTACTCCTTGTTCTGTCATCTGGTACCACTGAGAACAGTCTAGATCCATCCTCTTTGGAACCCCCTTTCAGGTAGTTGAAAGCTGCTATCAAATCCCCCCTCATTCTTCTCTTCTGCAAACTAAATAATCCCAGTTCTCTCAGCCTTTCCTCATAAGTCATGTGCTCCAGCCCCCTAATCATTTTTGTTACCCTCCGCTGGACTCTTTCCAATTTTTCCACATCCTTCTTGTAGTGTGGGGCCCAAAACTGGACACAGTACTCCAGATGAGGTCTCAACAATGCTGAATAGAGGAGAATGATCACGTCTCTCGATCTGCTGGCAATGCTCCTACTTATACAGCCCAAAATGCCGTTAGCCTTTTTGGCAACAAGGGCACACAGTTGAATCATATCCAGCTTCTCGTCCACTGTAATCCCTAGGTCCTTTTCTGCAGAACTGCTGCCTAGCCACTCGGTCCCTAGTCTGTAGCAATGCATGGGATTCTTCCATCCTAAGTGCAGGACTCTGCACTTGTCCTTGTTGAACCTCATCAGATTTCTTTTGGCCCAATCCTCCAATTTGTTTAGGTCCCTCTGTATCCTATCCCTACCCTCCAGCGTATCTATCACTCCTCCCAATTTAGTGTCATCTGCAAACTTGCTGAGGGTGCAATCCCCGCCATCCTCCAGATCATTAATGAAGATATTGAACAAAACCGGCCCCAGGACCGACCCTTGGGGCACTCCGCTTGATACCGGCTGCCAACTACACATGGAGCCATTGATCACTAGCCATTGAGCCCGATGATCTAGCCAGCTTTCTATCCACCTTACAGTCCATTCATCCAGCCCATACCTCTTTAACTTGCTGGCAAAAATACTGTGGGAGACCGTATCGAAAGCTTTGCTAAAGTCAAGGAATAACAAGTCCACTGCTTTCCCCTCATCCCCAGAGCCAGTTATCTCATCATAGAAGGCAATTAGGCTAGTCAGGCATGACTTGCCCTTGGTGAATCCCTGCTGACTGTTCCTGATCGCTTTCCTCTCCTCAAAGTGCTTCAAAATTGATTTCTTGAGGACCTGCTCCATGATTTTTCCAGGGACAGAGGTGAGGCTGACTTGACTGTAGTTCCCCGGATCCTCCTTCTTCCCTTGTTTAAAGATGGGCACTATATTAGCCTTTTTCCAGTCATCCGGGACCTCGCCCGATCACCATGAGTTTTCAAAGATAATGGCCAATGGCTCTGCAATCACTTCTGCCAATTCCTTTAGCACCCTCGGATGCAGTGCATCCGGCCCCATGGACTTGTGCTCGTCCAGCTTTTCTAAATAGTCCCGAACCACTTCTTTCTCCACAGAGGGCTGGTCACCGCCTCCCCATACTGTGCTGCCCAGTGCAGTAGTCTGGGAGCTGACCTTGTTCATGAAGACAGAGGCAAAAAAGGCATTGAGTACATTAGCTTTTTCCACATCCTCTGTCACTAGGTTGCCTCCCCCATTCAGTAAGGGGCATACACTTTCCCTGACCGTCTTCTTGTTGCTAACATACCTGAAGAAACCCTTCTTGCTACTCTTAACATCCCTTGCTAGCTGCAACTCCAAGTGTGATTTGGCCTTCCTGATTTCACTCCTGCATGCCTGAGCAATATTTTTATACTCCTCCCTGGTCATCTGTCCAATCTTCCACTTCTTGTAAGCTTCTTTTTTGTATTTAAGATGAGCAAGGATTTCACTGTTAAGCTAAGCTGGTCGCCTGCCATATTTACTATTCTTTCTACACATCGGGATGATTTGTTCCTGCAACCTCAATAAGGATTCTTTAAAATACAGTCAGCTCTCCTGGACTCCTTTCCCCCTCATGTTATTCTCCCAGGGGATCCTGCCCATCAGTTCCCTGTGGGAGTCAAAGTCTACTTTTCTGAAGTCCAGGGTCCGTATTCTGCTGCTCTCCTTTCTTCCTTGTGTCAGGATCCTGAACTCGACCATCTCATGGTCACTCCCTCCCAGGTTCCCATCCACTTTTGCTTCCCCTACTAATTCTTCTCTGTTTGTGAGCAGGTCAAGAAGAGCTCTGCCCCTAGTTGGTTCCTCCAGCACTTGCACCAGGAAATTGTCCCCTACACATTCCTAAAACTTACCTACTCAGCTACTCTGTTACCCCTGAGTCCCCCAAGCCTTTGCACTGCTTCTGAGGGAAGCAGAAAATATGTTTCTGGATTGTAGTTTAAATGAATTATTACTCAAAGTTTTGTGTTAATATGCCTAGTAATGAATGTATTTCTCAAAAAACATTTCCGGACTCTATTTGGTTGTCTATATTGTTACAGACATACTTGCTGACAGGTATTTTGGAATAAATGACCAAAATAATTAAAACTGGTGTCATTATATCATGTTATTTTGATAAATAAAATATGCAGAATTTTAAAATATCTGTGCAGAAGCTGAAATATTTTGGCACAGAATTCCCCCAGGAGTAAAAGCTGTCAAATGAATTACACAGAGCAAAATACTGAACATTACTTTGCAGATACTATCCAAGAGGTCCAATTACAAAGCTAAAAGAACAGTAACTTGGATTCATTACAACCAGGTTACCTTCTGATAACTATGTTAATAACTTGTGCTCACCATTGGAGCTGTTAAAGCAAAAGAAAGAGGAATTATTCAACAGAGATTTTAATGTAGATTTTCTATAGATCATGACTATCAAGATGTTTTGTCCCATGGAAATTTGGACACCATATTTGTAGCAGTTTATTCTTCAGTGTCACATCTGGTTGCAAATGTTGTACCCTTTTGAAGAGGGTGAACAATCTTTACCCATGGGACTAGAATTATGTAAAGAATTCCCAAGTCTGCTTCAGGACCCTAGAGGCTAAAAAGACCTCATGTCAGCTAGAGAAAAACTTCCATCATAGACTTGTAACTGTTTGAAAAAGTTTTCAAACAGATAGAGCCCAACACAATTTCAACCACTGTTTTCAGAACCTATGCTAGTATCCTGCCAGAGGGAAATCTATTGCATGTTTTTTTCTTATTTTTTTCTTTTTTAAAATTCCTTTCCATAACAAACAGTGAAATTGTGCTAGCTGGAAAACACATTGAGCACTTGTTACAAGTCTTGCAGTACAGCAACACAGGGAAAATTATTTCCTGACTTTCCCTTCAACTTTAGAATAATGTCACTTTTCACTCAACTTGCTAAGTATCTTAATAATTTATAGAAGTCTGAAACATACAAAAACTTCTGGAATTAATGATGCAATATAACAAGGTAAATTAATGCAGAGCTCAAACAAATGATTGAAAGATATTTAACTTACATATGATTAGATCTCCTTCCTCTGTTTGTCTTCTTTCCTATGACAGGAGTACCAAAATGTTCAGGGTTCGTGAGTGGGAGCTGATCTAATGTCTGTTGGAAGATCGTTAAACTCATTAAAACTCAAACCAATTTTTCAAGAGTTTATACAAAGTCTAAGTTTGTATACTTTAATAAATGTATTTTTTGTAACTGGAAAGTCTCCCTACTGACAATGTACTTAGAACAGAGACAGCACTGCTTTAAAAACAATGGCCTTGTCTTTTAGAAATTAACATTTCACAGAAACTAACTTCTTCCACACATTCTTTCACACACACACACCCTGAAGGCCCTGTTCTGAGACCACTTATCAGTAAAGGAGAACTGAAACTCAGGCAGCAGGTCTGACATCCTGATATGAGATACTCCCTTCCCTTTGCTAGATGAAGCACATTCTGCTTCTGAAGCACTCTTAGATCCACATCCCAATTATACATGTAAGGGAAATGGACATGTGTCCCTCATGTAGAAAAACTGAAGTTAGCAAGGCAGACCAACAGAGACCAGCAAACCAAATGAAGTTAACTTTCTTATCAATTAATGACAAAATATTACACAACTGTGTTCTTGCAAGAGTGAAGAACAGAGTCTGGCAAGAACAACATGTTCCTCAAAGATTCTAAAACAGATGTATTTAGGAAGGGGGTACTTACTGTCTGGAAAGGCTGAGAGAGCACGATATCTTAATTTAGGTCTTTTCAGCATGAGGGTGAAAAAAGAAGGATCTCACAGACCTCCAGCACCTTATATAGCAAGCCTTTGAAATGGGAGTCTTATGGAGAAGTCGTTCTCTGTTATCATTCACAATTGTAAATAATTGGTTGTTAGGGCACCTAGAGCTTTTTCTATTGGCATATTTTATTGTTATTTAAATGCAAGTTGACACAGTTAAGGGACAAACTGCATCTTAGAGCCCTTCTAGTCCCTCTCAAGTATACCCTCAAGTGACAGGCCCTATGTCTTGCACCTCACTCTAGATGGAACCATGCAACCAACCACTCTGGGATTTGGTCTCTAAGCATCAGGGCCCCTTTCCCAACTGTGTTAATGCAAAAGGCCCAACTGCAGTTGATGCCTGTAAGCTCTTTCACTCCTAGCACCCAGGAGCTGATTGAAGTGACAAGAACCCATCTTCAAAATACAGGTTTTTTTATTCCTTCCCCAATGGTACAAAGCACACAGATTAAAGGATAAAAACAATAAAAGGCATATACACCTGGGTCTTACTTACACCCTAATCTTTCCTTGCCAGCTTTTTAAATTCCCCTCACTCCAGCCAACCTCCATCTTCAGCTGGAAATAACAGACTGTCTTGCTTGCAGCAGGCTCTTTCTGTTTCTGTGTGTCCCCTTGCCAGCCTGTCAGCTCTTCCTGTCATTTCCTGGGCAGTTTTCTGGCCACTCACACAACCCTCATCCTTTTCTATATCCAGGATCCTGTAATGTCTTAGTGTTCCCTTTTCTCTCTCTCTTCCTAGCCTTGGCAAAACAGCTATGTCACCAGATTTGGGGCTGGAGGAGTCACTATTCATGGTAATAAACCTGACTATTGTGTTTGAATTTTCCTTGGGATGCCCCTTAGCTAGGCCATTATTATACCTTTCCTGCTTGGTTCCTTTAACCCTTTTTGATTTAACTCCATAGCAAGTAACCCATCATATATACACACATAAAGGCATGCATCATATTCATAAAAAACAAGAGATATTTCCCCCAGTTAGTTACACAATAAACAAATGTTACCAGACTACACTTCAAGAAGTGTGCAAACTTTCTTTGTCTTACATTCTCATTCTATGCAAGTTTCAAACTATGAAGAATACATCAGATTCTCATTAAAAATATTCTGTAGGTCAGACTGAACTCACTGCAGCTGATGAAGCCCACCTCTTTCAAACCAAAAAGCAAACACACATCTGTCTGTGACTGTGATGGAAGTTACATATTTACTCTACACAGAATGATGGGCATGGACAGAATTAAAACCCTAGCTCAGAACAAGAGAACAGCACCGTGGCATAATTCTAAGGCTATGTCTACACTACAAATTACTTTGGCATAATTTACGTTGTTTAGGGAGGGGAATAATCCACAACCCTGAGCAACGTAAATTATACCAACCTAAGCACTGATGTAGACAGTGCTATGTCAGCAGGAGAGCTTCCCACTGACATAGCTACCACTGTTTGTGGAGGCAGGAGTTATTAAGTCGACGGGAGAGCTCTCTCCCGTTGGCTTAGAGCATCTTCACCACAAGCGCTACAGAGGTGCAGCTGCACCGCTGTAAATGATGTACACTAGAACCTCAGAGTTACCACTGTCAACCACACCCCTCCTTTGGAACCAGAAGTATTCAATCAGGCAGCAGCAGAAACAAAACAAAAAAGCTAGTACAGTACAGTACTGTGTTAAATGTAAACAACTAAAAAATAAATAAAGGGAAAGTTTAAAAAAAAGATTTGACAAGATAAGGAAACTGTCTGTGCTTGTTTCATTTAAATTAAGATGGTTAAAAGCAGCATTTTATTTCTGCATAGTAAAGTTTCAAAGTTGTATTAAATTAGTGTTCAATTGTAAACTTCTAAAAGAACAATCATAACATTTTGTTCAGAGTTGCAACCTCCATTCCTGAGGGGTTCATAACTCTGAGGTTCTACTGTAGTTTAGACATGGCCTAAGTGCTGAAGAAAGTGGAGGTGCAATTTTAACTTCCAAGTGTAAAGGAATACATATCATGAACCAATTACTAGAACTGCAGAGTAAACCCCCAATTACAGTGAGGAAACTGGAAATCAGTGATTTTTGGCTAAACACCAAGTGCTCAGATACCCGAAAAGGGACTGGCAAAAATGAAAAGTAGGAGAGGTTACCTTAAAATTAGGTTTCTGCGAATCAGAGACAATAATCTGGACTGATGGACATTCTTGTTCATACAGCAGGAAGGTAGATTAACCTATATAATAATCTTGGCCAAAATTTTCGAATATGGATTCCTAAAGTTAGGCTCCTAACCCCATATTTAATATATATAAGCAGCCCGATGTTCAGAAGCACTGAGAAACTACAAATAACAAAAATTCAACAGGAGCAGCAGATGCTCATCATCTTTGAAAATTAGGCCACTGATAGTTAAACCCATATTTAGGTACTTAGGAGTTTAATGTTAGGCACATACACTTGGAATTTTTAGTGAGAGAATTTGAGCACCTTAACAAAGGCACAGTAAAAATGCCTAATTCACAACAACTGAACAACATGCTCAATTGAGTATAGCACAGAAAGAATTTTCCTACTGAGCAGAACACTTTCTCAAACAGCTCTTTGATAAATTAACATGCTCACATATATTGGTCCATCTGCTTGTCTGTCTGTTCACACGGTCTTGTGTAATAAGCAGAAATAAACATCTGACTTAACACTGTAATTGTTTAGAAAGCATTTATATATTTTAGAAGTAATTAGTTTGTAGGCTAGAAAATCAAACAAATATGAAAAGATTTTTTATTTCTGGAGGGACAAACATTTCTTCAAAATAACAGGTGATAAGAGGCTATAATCTACCTAAAACAACAGCACACAGATGTATCTGAGATTTCAAATTTATTAGCTATTACAACAACATTTACAAATTAAACATGGTCATTTGCACCAGCTCCCATTAAAGTGTAATTATGTGAGAGGATACAAATCATGTGTGTCATGCACTACACTGTAGTATCTTTTTTCAATCAATGCTTACTGAGAAAGCTAAGAAAAGTATTTCTAGCAAAAATAATTCAACTTATAAAGTAATATCACTATTGAACCCCATTATGCAAAAAATAAATATGAAGTGTCAATTTTGAAGGCAACTTTTAGTTTGGAGAAGTCACTCTCAAATCTTATTTCTGGGTGTAAAGGAATGAGCTAGACTTTGTGGATTATATTTTGCATAGTCACAATTTTAGCAGCATTAAAATATTTAGCCTTTGAAAGTCTAAGGCACTAATTAAACTGATGAAATTGGGATGAAAGGCATTTTTTTGATTATTTTTAAATATAAACACTGTGGAATTAAGATGTGTTCATTCTGACACCAATCACTTACCTCACTTTCAGCAAAATGTCTTTCTCCTTTCAGGCAAAGAGAAGAGCGTCTAAGAGTCTTCTCATCCCCATCATCAAATACTGTCACCAGGGGAAAAAAGGAAAGGCAGATTATTAGTTAATAAACTGAAAAAAATACTTGGTCTGTATTTTCCTGCTATGGAAATATCCTTTGCTCAGTTCCCTGAATATTTTCCCTGTATGAAATCCAGTACTCTCTGTGACGGGGCATTGAGAACCACCCTTTCTGAACATGACACACCCAACCCCAGTTTCATCACTAAGAGGGAGCACCAAACTAGATGGTAACTGTACTTTTCTATAGTTCTAGAAGTGTTTCAGGGACCTAGAGGATTGAGATCAACTATTACTCCAGGGAACTTGTGTAGTTTGGCTGTAATCCCAAAACCTGCAACATATGTGTGTTTCCGCAAGCTGATTAGAACAGGAGAAAACTCCCCGGTATGCCTAAAACTTGGTAGGTACCTGCATTATGAACCCTGGACAGTTAGACTCTGTATACTGTGTTTATTTTGACTAATTTATTTAACTCCTCCCCAACCCCTGGCTGACGGCATCCTAATAATAGAGAGCATCTTCCTTTTCTTTTGTTAAGCTGTATAACAACATGAAGTCCCCACAAGAGAATGTCTTATCTGGCCAAAAAGCATGGTGAAAAACCATGTAGAGAGCAGATGCTAGCTCTGCCACACTTGCATATTCTTCTTCTTTACCTTCAAAATACACCAGCAAGGCAACCTTTCCAGTTTTCTATCAGACAGAAGTACAGTAGTTTACTGCATTTAAAGGAACTATCCTGAAATTGAAAATTTCAAAGGAAACCAAGAGATCAAGGTTTCAGGGAAAGTCACTGAAATGCAAATCAGCTATTCCAAGATCTTAGAGAAAGGAGGGACTTGCCCATCAGCAGGCTTATTCTTGAAGATGTAGAACTCTATGCAAAAGCTCTGGACACCAAATAAGCCAGGTGCTTGTACATACACAAATGATGTTACAAAGATCAGAAGTGTCAAGGGCATGACTTAGTCCTTGTCCATACACCAGTAATACTGCTTTAACTATATATTGGTATAGTTAAAATGTAAAATGGTACCAACCCCACACACCTTAACAGTGTGGACTCTTATCAGTATATAAAGGTGCCTTATACCAGGGGTTCTCAACCCTTTTCTTTCTGAGCCCCCCCAACATGCTATAAAAACTCCACGGCCCACCTGTGCCACAACAATTGTTTTTCTGCATATAAAAGTCAGGGCTGACGTTAAGAGGTAGCAAGCAGAGCAGTTGCCCGGGGGACCAAGCCACAGGGTGCCCCATGAAGCTAAGTTGCTCAGGCTTCCGCTTCAGCCCCAAGTGGCGGGGCTCAGGGCCCCTGGCTTCAGCGCTGCATGGCAGGGCTTAGGCTTTCTGCCCTGGGCCCCAGCTTGTCTAACACTGGTCCCACTTGGCAGACCCCTGAAACCTGCTCGCGGCCCACCAGGGGGCCCCAGACCCCTGGTTGAGAACCACTGCCTTATACTACTATAGCAAAGGGAATAACCTATACTGGTAAAAGGCACCTTTGTTATAATAGTAATATAACTGGACCCAAGCTAGGGATTGTACTGATTATTTTGGTAGGAAAGACTCATGCCCACATCAAAACCTGAGTGTAGACAAGGCCTTAGCCCTACAAAAGCGAGGAAGGTTGACATGCCTTTAAACGGTTCCCCACTGTGCCTAGATATTGTAGAACATACAGTTTTCAAGCAGTTCCCAAATGCATGATTCTATAAAGACTCTGAGCCACAAACTGAATTAATCTCTAAGGTGTAACAATTTGCTGTATAACTGCTATGGTGTTTACTGTTTGCCAAGTGAAGTTTTCAGCAGAGGAATTTGTGAGCAAGGTCACTCTCTGAATTAGTGATGTCACCCAGTACTTCAAGATGGCTGGGTGCTAATGTAAATTTAGACAAACTTGCTGAATAAGGAAACTGATCATTATGGAGTCTGACAGGAACACACAGCTCTCAACCAGACTTTCCTCAGATCCACAGATACCAATATCTCCAAAGTTTTTTTTTCAGTCCTGCTTCTATTCACCCGCCTGGTAAAGTATATTCCTAATCTGCTGCTGCTACGAATGTCATTTCACTCCCGAACTGCATTAGACATGATGAAGTTGGCAGCTGTGATACCAACTTTCACTGATCCCATAAGATTGGCATCATCCTATCTGGTAAGCACAGTATCTTCAATCACATCTCCAGGTCAGCTTTCTCCTCCCTTCTTTACTTCCACCTTCCCTTTCTTTCTCAGGCTCAATCTTTGACAGCTGCACATGTCACTTTGAACCTCAAACTGAAACTCCTTGCGCCAGCTGCCTCCACCATTTAGCCCATATCTATTTCTACATCACTTACTTTGGCAAACTGCTGATTTCATGCATTTGTCACATCACATTTTACAATTCCATCCAAATTTCAGGCTATTTGGAACTCTGAAGTATACTTTTTATTTACATGTCCATACACTATTGCTTCACCACCTCACTAACTCCCATGTCCACTTCTATATTATGAAAACCTCTTCTTCATGGCCACACCCTTCTCTATTACTCTGCCTCTTCCCCTTCATTCTATTTTGGCCTCTGTTCTGTCCATGTCCCGCCCTCATCCTACTTTCTTATTCCATCAGATAATTTCTATGTAGTAATACCTACCGGGAACAACATACTTATCTCACAAAATCTCCATTTCTTTTAAAAGAGAAAAACCGGTTACCTACCTTTCATAACTGTTGTTCCTCGAGATGTGTTGCTCATGTCCATTCCATTCTAGGTGTATGCGTGCCCACATGCAGTCGTCAGAGATTTTTGCCTTAGTAGCATCCGTAGGGTCAGCTGTGGCGTCCCCTTGAGTGCCCCACCCATGCGCTGGTATATAGGCACCGCTGACCCTATGCCCTCTCAATTCCTTCTTGCCAGCAACTCCGACAGAGGGGTAGGAGGGCAGGTAATGGAATGGACATGAGCAACACATCTTGAAGAACAACAGTTATGAAAGACAGGTAACTGTTTTTTCTTCTTCGAGTGCGTGCTCATGTTGATTCCATTCTAGGTGTATCGGGATGTAACCTGAGGATATTACTTTGAGCACCCAACGGTCTGTGGTCAGCTAAGACCAGGACAACCGGAAGGGGCAGAGGCAGTCGAGGAAAGAGTGGGAGGGTGGATCCTGGGAGGTGACTGGGGCATCGTCCTCAAGGGCACCCTCAAAATGACTGCTTCTGGAAGACCCAAGCTGAGTAGACGAACGGGAAGATGACGGGTGTTGCTGCTTAGACCCCTTGTCTCTATCCTTCCTCCTGTAGGTGCCCAGCCAGGGAGTCCCCCAGGACCTAGACTGCGGAGGCGGAGGAGTTGGAGGGCGGAACGGCTTCCTGGCCTGGTGAGGAGTATGGAGGCCCAAGGAGCGGAGAGTGGCATGGGAGTGTTTAAGGCCATGGAGTCTCGAGTCTGTGATCTCAGAGAAGAGCCCCTCCTCTCAAATGGGAGGTCCTGTATAGTGGCCTGCATCTCCTAGGATAACCCAGAGGACTGCAATCAGGAGGTGCGCCTCATGGCTACAGCGGAGGCGACCATTCTGGCCACTGAGTCAGTAGTGTCCCAGTCCATCTGAAGGGCCCCCCTTGCCACAACTGTGCCTTCTTCCACCAAAGCAGCGAACTCCTGAGCTCAGTCCTACAGAAGGGCCTCCTTGAATTTGTTAAGGGAGTCCTACAGGTTAAAATTGTACCTGCCTAACAGACACCTGAAATTGCAGGCTTGCCATCAAATAAATCTTTCTGCCAAATGCCAGTCTCTTGGCATCTTTGTTTTTCAGCGTGCCACTGACTTGGCCCTGCCTATCCCTTTCATTAATAGCAGTCAATATCGACCAGTGATGCCACAGATATTCGAACCCTTTTGCAGGGACATAACTTTTTTTCAGCCTTCTTAGAAGTAGGCGGAATTGAAGAGGGGGGTGCGCCACAGTGATCTAGCAATCTTAAGGATGCCTGGGTAGGAGGGGCAGTGCAACCCAGGCCGGGGTGGATATAAAGTTAAAGAGGTCGTCAGACTCCTCCGGGACCTCCTCAATTTTTAAGTTCAAGTTCGTAGCCACCCTCTTAAGGAGAACTTGGTGCTCCTTGAAGTCATCGGGGGGCTGCCTGTTTAGGAAGGAGATGACGACGAGTGCACCGCTGGGGGAGGGGTGGGTTCCCCTTCCTTCTCCGGGGACAGCTCCTTAGGTGCTGGAGTCCTGTGCGCTGCCCCCCAAGTTGGATTCAGTACCAGCGGCGGTTTGTCCGAGGCAGTCAGGGAGGACTGGTGGGAATACAGGACTGGCATTATGGGCACGCCCCACGGGTTCCAGTATGGCCATTGAGCGGGCCATTGTCCCTGCTGCCATGCTGTCGCTGCAGGTGCTGCGCCAGCTTTGCAGTTCGGCGGCAAATCACCCCTCCTTGGCGAGGAGCTGAATTCCCGGTCCGAGGCCGACCATTGCCCTTACGGAGACCAGGGCGGAGACATCGAGGCCTGAGTCTGCCGACTGACCCTGGTTGGTGACTAGTGAGGTGAGGACGAGGATCGGTGCCTGCCCGACAAGCGGAACTGAGGGGATGGAGACCAGTGCTGCGACAGGGAGCGATCCCGCCCCAGTGGGGACTGATGTCTTGGAGACCATCTGGGCAAGGGTGACTTGCACAGTGGTGATCTTTGGAGGGCAGCTCGCTGGTATCGGTGCTACGGCGACTGGTGCCTCGACTCCAGTGTCCTATATGTTGTAGGGGGAGAGCGCGGCGTCGGGGACCTGGGTCTTCTGACCCGAGACCGGGAATGTGGTACCGGGGTCCTAGGCCACGGAGAAAGGGATTTAAGCCTCCGGTCTGGGGACAGAGGGTGCTCCACTGCCCTATGGGAGGTCTCATGACCGGTTTGCCCTTAGGCATTGGGGCCTTAGCTGAGTCTAGCACCTGGCATGGTGTCAGACGGCTTGTTCTTTAACCACGGGGCCACTTCAGGCAACGAGGGACCTAGGAGAAGCCGGGGTCCCCTGCCGCTCCCGGGAGTCAGAGGTGGATCCCTGGCCGGGCTGGAGGGTCCGATCTCAGCAGTACCCTCATGAAGCCCCGGGGCAGGCACATGGCCTGACATAGGTCTTTTGCCCGAGGCTGCTTTCCCTTCTGGTGCCGGGGGGCTCTTCCTCTTTTGCCGCTTCTTCGGCGCCGGTGAGGGGGAACAATGTCTGATGGAGCCAGTGATGGCGGTGCACTCTGCACCAATGCCGAGCTGTTCGGTGTGGGATCAGAGTGGGAGGGCTCCGACGCAGGACGAAGCGCAGTCTCCATGAGGAGGGCCCTCAAGCGGATATCCCACTGCTTCTGAGTTCTAGGGCGAAGTTCTTACAGATTCTGCACTTGTTCTTTCTATGGGACTTCCCCAAGCACTTCAGACAACTGTCGTGGGGGTCACTAATAGGCATCGGCCTGTTGCATGACGAGCAACCAGAAAATCAGGAGAGCAGGGCATGCCCCACTCCGGGGTGAAGTCCCAGCCGGGACTCTAACTACCGAACTATCTCACACTTAACTTAAAGGCTAACTAAGTACCTAAACTATATACTGGGGTGGCCAAACTTACTGACCCTCTGAGCTGCATACGACAATCTTGAGAAGTTCGAGAGCTGGAGCGTACCTGCCGGGGCTCGGGGCTTCAGCCCTGCTCCTGCTGAAGCCCCAAGCCTCGGCGGACATGCTCTGTGGGGCTGAAGCCCCGAGACCCTCTCTCCCCACTGGGCAGAAGCCCTACCCCACCAGAGGTCCCAAGGCAGAGGTCCCAAGCTCCCCCCCACAAGTCTGATAGGTGAAGAATGGGGGGTGAGTGTGGGGGGCTCTCAAGGAGGTGCCACTGCCGACCCTACGGATACCACGAAGGCAAAACTCTCCAACGATTGTGCACATGGGAGCACAGACACCTAGAATAGAATGGACATGACAAGCACTCGAAGAACTATCACTCTGCTCAGAACTCCACTTAGCACACACTTCCTGAAGTCAGTTTTCATCTGCCAGTTCTCCAGCATCAGTTTACAATTAGCAACCCTTAATAATAAATGGTCACAATTGCTAATATTTTTCTTTATGCATAATTGCAGCTAATGATGTGCATGAATGTATTATAAATCTTGTTTTATATTATGCATCCCTGTGTGTAACAGATCAGTCTACCAGTTTAGAAATGTTAGAGGTCATGGAGTCCAAAATAAGCTTCATTTAGATCAGCCAAAAACATGGTCCATGCACAAGATCCCCACAGCAACATTAACCTATGTAATGGGAGAGACTACCTGTCAAGGGGAGCCTTCACCTTAAAAAACTGCCATCAGTCAGTCTCCCCCTAATCTCTTTGTATGATGGAGCTCAGGGGGGGAGAGGACAAGTTTCTCAGTACAGTAACTCCTCACTTAAAGTCGTCCCGGTTAACGTTGTTTCGTTGCTGATCAATTAGGGAACATGCTTGTTTAAAGTTCACAATGCTCACTTATAATGTTGTTTGGCAGCTGCCTGCTTTGTCCACTGCTTGCAGAAAGAGCAGCCCGTTGCAGCTAGCTGGTGGGGGATTGGAACCAGGGCGGACCGGCAGCCCCCCATCAGCTCCCCGCTCCCCTAAGTTCCCTGTGCGGCAACCGCCCAGCAGGCTATCAATTGCTGGGCAGTTCAGCTGTCCTTCGCCCCACTGCCATGTGCTGCTCCTGCCCTCTGCCTTGGAGCTGCTCCCGGGAGCCTCCTGCTTACTGTGCAGGGAGGGGATGAGGGGGACTGTCAGGGTGTCCCCCTCCCCCCTGCTCCTGCTCCCCGCTTACACCATCTCTCTATAGAGCGGGGGGGGGGGGGGC